CTCGTCCGCCTCCGCCTCCCCGCCTCCGCCTCCGCCTCCGCGTCCGCCGCCTCCTCCTCCTCCTCCTCCTCCGCCTCCTCCGCCTCCTCCTCTTCCTCCTCCTAGCCTCCTTTTCTCGAGAGGGTTGGGCACGCGCACTTGAGAGGAGCGTAGCGCGATCGAGTCGCGCCGCGGGCCATGGATGTGTCGGCCTGATCAAGGCCCGCCAGAAAAAGGCGACCAAGGCTGGGAATCGTTTCGGCAAGGTTGCAATCGTGAAGGGCGTTGTGTTGATCAAGACCCGCCAAAGAGGGCGACGAAGGCTGGTAATCGTTTCGGCAAAATCGCTATCGTGAAGAACGTTGTGATGATCCGCCAGGAGAAGGCGACCAAGGCCGGGAATCGTTTCGGCAAAGTCGTCATCGTGAAGGGCGTTGTGATGCACCAAACCCGCCAGGAGAAGGCGACCAAGGCCGGGAATCGTTTCGGCAAAGTCGTCAGCGAAAGGGCGTTGTGATGAACAAGACCCGCCAGAAGAAGCAGACCAAGGCTGGGAACCGTTTCGGCAAATCGCCATCGTGATGGCCAAGTTTTGAGGGGGGCGTGGAGGGCGCCTCAAGTGGCGGAGCCTCTCTGAAAGGGCCCTGAGGCGGGTGACAGGCGCCTAGGTTGACCGTCGGTCGTCGCGTCGGTTGCTGGCCTGGTTTTTCGTCGCCTGTCCTCTCGTCGCCTCTGCTTGGTTCGCCGCGTTTTGGCCTCCAGGGCGGTTTTCCGCTCGTGGCGGGTCGCCGCTACCGGGCGCTGCTCGAAAAACTCTATCTTCCGCCGAGCCGTGGGCTCGTGCGGCGGTGAGGGCTACCTGCCATTGCTCCTGCTGGCCTCAGACAGCAGGACTCGTAGCGGCCAACCTGCCAGTAGCTTACGCTGGGATTGGCCCAGCACCACTGGAGGATAGCAATGGCTAGCCTCCTGCTCGGCCTGTGTGCCAGGGGATAGAGAGTTGCCCCGCATCATCAGAGTCCTCAGTCCTCCTCCAACTCCTCCTCCTCCTCCTCCTCCTCCTCATCCTCCCTCCTCCTCCTCCTCCTCCTCCTCCTCCTCCTCCTCCTCCTCCTCCTCCTCCTCCTGCTCATCATCATCATCATCATCATCATCATCATCATCATCATCATCATCATCATCATCATCATCATCCTCATCCATCATCATCCTCATCCTCATCCTCATCCTCATCCTCATCACCTCGTCATCATCATCATCATCGTCATCATCGTCATCATCAGCATCAGCATCATCATCATCATCATCATCATCATCATCATCATCATCATCATCATCATCATCATCATCGTCGTCACCATGATCATCAGCATCATCATCAGCAGCATCACCATCACAACCAGCATCTCATCATCATCATCAGCAGCATCAGCATCACCAGCATCACCAGCATCATCAGCAGCATCCGCATATTCATTATCATCATCATCATCATCATCATCAGCAGCATCATCATCATCATCATCGGCATCATCATCAGCATCATCATCAGTATCATCATCAGCAGCAGCATCATCATCAGCATCACCATCAGCATCATCAGCCGCAGCAGCAGCAGTAGCATCATCATCAGCATCATCAGCAGCAGCACCATGGTCATCATCATCAGCAGAATCATCGTCATCAGCAGAACATCAGCAGCAGCATCACCATCATCATCAGCAGCAGCATCATCATGAATGTATAATTATCACCATCGTCATCGTCAACAGTATCATCATCGTAAGCATCATCATCATCACCATCATCAGCAGCATCAGCATCAGCAGCGTCAGCATCAGCATCAGCATCATCATCATAAGCAGCATCATCATCAGCAGCAGCAGTAGCATCATCATCATCATCATCATCATCATCATCATCATCATCATCATGAGCACCATAAGTATCAGCATCATCAGCAGCATCAGCATCGACATCAGCATCATTATCAGCAGAACATCAGCCGAAGCCGCAGCAGCAGCAGTCGCAGCAACATCAACATCAGTATCAGCAGCAGCACCAGCAGCACAAACCTCATCACCGTCATCAGCATCATCATCATCAGCAACAGCAACAGAATCATTATCACCAGCACAATCAGCATCTTCATCATCATCATCATCATCAGCAGCAGCAGCATCATTATCATCAGAAGCATTATCATCAGCACAATCAGCATCATCATCATCAGCAGCATCAGCAGCAGCATCACCTAAACTATCAGTTATATCAGCATCATCCTCAGCTGAAGCAGCAGCCGCAGCATCCACATCATCATCATCATCATCATCAACAGTAGCAACATCATCATCGTCATCATCATCATCAACATCATCATCATCATCATCATCATCATCATCATCATCATCATCATCATCATCATCATCATCATCGTCATCAGCATCATCAGCATCATCAGCATCATCACCGTCAGCATCATCAGAATCGTCGTCGTCATCAGCAGCAGCAGCGTCATCGTCGTCATCACCCTTGGCCTCGCCGCCATCTTATGTTTGTTTCATCCGTCTCTCACCTTCTCCACTCTCATCCTACTCTTCCGTCCTATCAGCATGTGCTCATTACCGGCGTTCTTCTCATCCAGTTCCTCCTCCTCGTCGACCTCCTCCTTCTCACCATCAGCATCATGGCAAACATCATCACCATCATCATTACTGACGACAGCATCACCACCGCCACCATCACCAGCATCATCAGCACCAGCAGCTTCACCATCCGCATCAGCATCATCTGTACCATCAGCAGCACAATCAGCAGCAGAGGCATGATTGATGAAACATCATCATCATCATCAGCATCATCATCATCATCAGCATCACCATCATCAGCAGCAGCATCATCAGCAACAGTATTGTCACAGTCGAAATCATCAGCCACGCGAACTCAACTAGAATCAAAATTATGACAACCAGCACAATCAGCATCGCCGTATACACCGGAATCATTGACAGCAACCGAATCGTCGTCGTCAGCGTAGTCACCATCGCTAGGAGCCAATATCACCCTGGCCCCCTGTAGTCGTCATCATCATCAGCAGCAGCATCAGCATCATCACCAACATATACATCATCCTCATCATCATCATCATCATCATCATCATCAGCAGCAGCAGCAGTATTAGCATCAGCAGCATCAACACCAGCATCAGCATCAGCAACATCAACAACAACATCAGCATCTTCTCCATCGTCATCATCAGCAGAATCAGTATGAGCATCACCATCATCGTCATCATCATCACCATCATCAGCAGCATCAGCATCATCATCACTAGCAGCAGCAGCAGCAGCGTCATCATCACAATAATCATCAGCATCATCATCGTCATTCCCAACGTCATCGTCATCGTCGTCATCATCGTCGTGGTCGTCGTCATCATCATAATCAGCATCAAGCACACGGCCATCGTCATGATCACCCTCAGTGTGATCCCCATCAGCCGCATCATCATCATTCTCATCAAAAATGTTGTCGGCTGCTCATTGTCATCACCACCAAGACCAGCAGCGTCATCGTCATCGTCGTCATCATCCACACCATCCTCATCCTGATCATAATCATCCTCATCCTCAGCATCATCGTCATCATCGCCACCGTCGTCGAGGTCGTAATCAGCATTACCTTGATCGTCGCCACCATCATCATCATCATCACCATCATCAACAACATCATCATCAGCGCCATCATCAGCAGCAGCATCATCAGCATGATCAACAAAGTCATCATGGTGGTCATCATCATCAGCATCATCAGCAGCATCATCATTATCATCTACATCGTCATCATCGTAGCTGTTGTCGCCAACATCACCAATATAATCGTTATCACCATCGTCAGCATTGTCGTCATCGTCGTAGCTCTTGTCGTGGACGTCATCGCCATCACAATCAGCATCATCACCACCTTCATCAGCAGCAGCATCAGCATCAGCATCAGACTCGGCATCAGCATCAGCATCATCATCATCATCACCATTATCATCATCACCATCCTCACCAGCATCATCAGAATCGTCCGCCTACCCCTCCTTACCATCAGAATCACCATCAACATCGTCACCACCACCACAACCATCATCATCATCATCATCATCATCATCATCATCATCATCATCATCAGCAGCAGCAGCAGCAGCAGCAGCAGCAGCAGCAGCATCCTCATCCTCCTCCTCCTCCTCCTTCTCCTCTTTCTCGGGCTCCCTTCACCTGCTCGCCCTGGGGGGCCGCGCTCCCCTCGCGAGCACTCCCTCCAGACCAGGCCGCAGCTCCGCCGAGGTCCGCCCCGGGGCCCCAAGGCGAACCCCGCACCTCTGCAGACGGCCAGAGGGGCCACGAGGGGCCCGCGGCCCGAGCGGCGACGGGCGCACGGCAGGGCCGCCAAGCCTGAGCCGGGTCGAACCGCGAACTCGGGTCTGGTGGGCTCGTTTTGCACCACCAACACCACCACAAGTGGGAGGGGGAGGGGGTCCCCCTCGTCTTCCTCCTCCTCTCGTTCTTCTCATCATCCTCCGCCTGCTCCCCGCTCGAACTTCTGGTGGTGGTGGTGGAAAACGAGCCCATCAAGGTCGGCTCGGCTCGGAGGAGGACAGCGCTCCGCGGGAGCGCGGGTCTGCAGCCGACGCAGGCGCCGACTGCCCACCCGCGGCCGCGCACGGGCGCCGCTCGGCTAGCCTCACAGGGGGAGGAGGAGGGGGAGGAGGGGGAGGAGGAGGAGGAGGAGGAGGAGGAGGAGGAGCTGGGTCGGGCCGCGATCGCGACTGAGTCGTCGCGGAATCGCCTTGGGATCGGATCAGCTGGGACTGCGGATCGGTCTCGGCCCCTGCAGGGGCTGGAGAGGAAAGCGCTTCCTGTCGGCTCGGATCGGGTCTGAATCGCAATCAAAGCCTGGGGATCGACCGTGGGGGCCCAAAGAATACCTATACGACCACCCTTCGGGTGATAAGGAGGTTCGGGGGGGGGAGGAACCAACGTCTCACTCGATCGGTCGCACTATCGATCTGACTCTAACTATTTCATTCGATCGATCTCACAATCGATCTGACTATCGATTTCACCATGGATCTCACTATCGATCTCACGATCGATCTCACAATCGATCTCACACTCGGTCTCACTACGTCATCAGCATCATCATCATCATCATCATCATCATCATCATCATCATCATCATCGAGACACCATCATCATCGTCAGCAACATCAGCATCACATCGTCACCATCATCATCAACATCAACATCATCATCATCATCATCATCATCATCATCATCATCATTAACATCATCATCATCATCATCATCATCATCATCATCATCATCATCATCATCATCATCATAATCATGATGACCATGATCATGATCGGGTCACCATCATCGTCACCATCATCATCAACATCATCATCATAGGGACACCATCATCATCATCATCGGAACATAACCATCATCATCATCATCTCATCATCATCATGAACAACATCGTCATCATCATCGGAACACCATCATCATCAACCTCATCAGCATCGTCGGGACATCACCACCATCGTAGCCGTCATCATCATCAGAATCATCACCATCATCAACGAGACACCATCATCATCAACATCATCATCACCATCATCGGGACGCCATCTTTAAAATCATCATCATCATCACCTCATCAACATCATCATCAACATCATCACCATCGGGACACCATCATCGGCATCATCATCATCATCATTAGCAACAACACCATGATCATCATCATCATCATCATCATCATCATCATCATCATCATCATCATCATCATCATCATCGGGACACCATCATCATCATGAACAGCATCATCATCAACCTCATCATCATCATCATCATCATTATCATCATCATCGGGACATCATCATCATCATCATCATCATCAGCATCATCATCATCATCATCGTCTTCTTCATCATCAGCATCATCATCTCATCACCATGTCATCATCAACAACATCATCAGGATCATCAACATCATCATCATCGTCATTTGCGCACCACCATCATCATCAGCAACATCATCATTGTCAACATCATCATCGGAGCACCATCATCATCACCATCACCATCACCATCACCATCATCATCATCATCATCATCATCATCATCATCGTCATCATCATCATCATCAATCATCATCATCATCATCATCATCATCATCATCATCATCATTAACATCGTCAACTTCATCATCATCATCATCATCATCATCATCATCATCATCGGGACACCATCCTCATCACGTCACCATCATCATCAACAACATCAACGACATCATCATCATCATCACCATCACCATCACCATCAGCATCACCATCACCATCACCATCACCACCATCATCACCATCATCATCATCATCATCATCATCATCATCATCATCATCATCATCATCATCATCGGGACACCGACGGGACACCGGCGGGACACTGGCGGGACACCGCGCGGCACCGGTTGCCGGAAGGGAGACTTTTGGTCCGGCCGCGCCTTAGCCACAGGAGACTTCCTTCTCGCCCGCCCACGCAGCTTCGCCTCGCCCGCACGCACGGCACGCACGAAACCGAAACCGATTTCCCGGTCGGGGGGCTCTCCGTTCCACTTCGATCTCACCCCCTCACCTCCGATACACCACCACCACGTCGATTCCTCCTCTGTCCTCTTTCCAGCGAGAAGGAGGGGGGGAGGGAGGTGGTGGTGATGTACATTTTGGGGCCCCCGAGACCGCACCTCTGCAGCAAGGCGAGCCCCCCTGGCCGTTTCCTCCCCCCGGGAGCTGGCGCCTGCGGAGTCAGCAGCTCTGGATGCCTCTGCACCTCAGACGACCGGCCGAGCATGCGGGAGGCACCACTCACGCACCTTGGGCTGGGGCCACCTCGAGATTTTCACCGAACGGGGCGGGCAGGAGAAATTCGCATCGGATCGAGAAGTCGATCGGGCCACATCAGCAGGGACGCGAAATTGAATCGAGTCGGCCGCACCAAGATGCACAACATCACCATGCAAGCATCGGGGCCCAGAAGTGGACAGTATGCAGTCGCCGAAGGGCGCCGTTTCCCTCCTCCTCCTCGTCCTCCTCCTCCTCGTTGATTCCTCTTCATATCCTTCTGTCCCTCCCCCTCCTACCAGCTCAGGGCGGGCAGGGAACCGAGACGCATGGCCCAGCCGCCCTCCAAAAGACTTCCCAAAATCATCTGCTCCCCTCCTCCCGGGGGGGCGTAGAAAGGTTGGGCAAGGCCAACAAATGTGGGATCAGAAGAAAATCGTTTTAAGCGGCCCCTGAAAAAATGACAAGCAAGCGTCAAGCTGGGTTCGCGACCGACACTGGAATAAGCCCCTTCTCCGCGTACATTGGTTCCCCTCCTCCTCCTCCTCCTCCTCCTCCTCCTCCTCCTCCTCCTCCTCATCCTCACCCTCCTCCTCATCCTCACCCTCACCCTCATCCTCATCATCATCCTCATCCTCGTCCTCCTCCATTTCCACATCCTTCTCCTCCTCCTCCTCCTCATCATTATCATCCTCCTCCGCATCATCCTCTTCTTTCTCCTCTTCTTCCTCTTCCTTCTCCTCCTCCTCCTCCTCCTCCTCCTCCTCCTCCTCCTTCTCCTCCTCCTCCTCGTCCCCCTCCTCCTCCTCCTCAACCCGATCTCAGATAAGCCTCCCTCTGCGTACGTTCCTCCTGCAAGTCAACAGTATGATCGTAATGAAAATGGGGTTTAGTTTTGCAGTAAGCGGCGAACGCCACAATACAACTGCGTGGCACACCACCCAATGGCGGATACCATTATTTGGGCTAAACGCCAGCAGTTGCGCAGTAACCCCAGGCCCTATGACGACCCCCCCCCCGACCATATGCAGATCACATGCGAAAGCTGGAGCTAATCCAACAGCACAAGTGCGGCGGCATGCTGTACATGAGCAAAGTAAAATAAAGATTGTTACACACAATAAAGATTTGTATACACAATGGCTTGAGTGATTCTGAATTGAAATACACGCATGCTGATCCCTGAGGTGTTCTTATACGCCACAGCGACATGGATATTCGCTTGAAACTCGAATGTACAGTGGCGCAACAGACTTTGGAGCGACAAGGGGCGGGAAAGAAATCACATGATTGTAAAACTCAGCGCCATTCATCGGCGCCTGAGGCATGCCGAGGTTGACCTCGGGCGCTTGCCCTTGACCTTACTGTGACCCACGCGGTCAAGTTCTTGCTCCCGGTCACGCTTCCCGTCCATCATGCGGTGGTGATCGCTCTCGCCCATGAAGCGGTCAGCGCTCCGGCCCGTGAAGAGGTCTCACCCCTAAACCGTCTCGTCCTCGTCATGCTCCTCATCCAGCCCATCCTCGTCCTCATCATCACAACCAGTCGTCACCTGGCAACAACAATCGCCGTCATCATTTCCCTCCTCGTCCTCCTCTTCCTCCTCCTCCTCCTCGTAAAAATAACAATCATCAGCAGCAGCAGCAGCAGCAGCTGCAGCAGCAGCTGCAGCAGCAGCAACATGATCACACTGATCACCACCAGAACCACCACCGCCATCACCACCACCATCACCATCACCCTCACCGTCACCGTCACCGTCATCGTCATCATGATCATCTCGCACGAGCGGCGCTGTGGCCGCTCCGGGGCCCCAGCTCGAGGCACGGCCGAGGCACGCGCCAGCGCGCTCACGAAGCCGAGCGCAGCGGCGCGGGACTGCTGGAGGGCCTTGGGCACTCCTGCCGGCCAGGGTGGGCTCCCCATCCTCCTCGGCCCCCGTCCTCCTCCAGCTCCTCCACCTGCCTACTCCTCCTCTCCTCGGGTCCCCTCCTCCTGCTGCTCCCCGTCGTCGTCATCCTCGTCATCCGCACCGTCCTCATCCTCCTCACCGTTCCCCAGCACCCGTCCTCCTCGTCCCGATGGGTGCTCATATGATTACACACCGACGGATAGCACAATCACCAGGAGCGCAGCGAGGCCGGCAAGAAGGCGCAAGCACACCTCGTCACAGGTGCAGCGAAGCCCGGGAGGCGTCCGAGCGAATCAGGTACACCTGCATGCCAGCGTGGTCAGCGATATGCAGCACAGATCGATAGGAGAGGCGGAGGAGGGGACAGGGCGCAAGGAAGAGGCGGGCTTCATTATCGTCATCATCACAACCATCGTCGTCATAATATGCATCGGCATGGGCTTTATCAACAGCACCATCCATCATCGCCCTCATCCACCTCCTCATCTTACTTTTCCTCATGCAGATCAGATCCCCCTTACACTCATCGTCAATAAGCTCCTCCTCGTCCATTCACGTCTTCCTCCTCCTGCTACTCCTCCTCGATCTCTTCTGGGGGGACAACACAAGACCTGGGGTGTTAACACCCCCCTCGATTTGAGTTCAAGTTCGTAAGTTAGAACACCCTCTAAATTGACGCCAGACCGGTAAATTCTGCAAGTTCGCGTAAATTATGTAAGTTCGCGGGCGTGTACGACCAGGCGTTTGATTATCGAAATTGCGCAACCTGGTTGAATTGGAACTGACGACTTGTGCGAGTATTTGTTGCTAAGGAAACGACAATGTGTACGAAAACTGTTTGTTTTGTCGGGCTGGACTCGGTTTTCGAACTTGTGCAACCGATTTGATTGATACCTGACGAGTTGTGCAGCTTTTTCGCTTGGAACCGACGAGTCGTGCAACCTTTTTCGTTTTGTCGAACTGGGTTCGGTTTTCGGACTTGTGCAACCTGTTTACTGAGAGTTGACGAGTTGTGCAGCTTTTTGTTTGATTGGGAACCGACCAGTTGTGCAACCTTTTTCGTTTTGTCGAACCTGGCTCGGTTTTCGAACTTCTGCAGCTGTTTTGAACGAGGCCTGACGACTTGCGCAGCTTTTTCGATGAGGTACCGACGAGTTGTTTAACCTGTCTCGTTTTGTCGGTACTGGTACTGGTACTGGTATTGGTATTGGTATTGGTATTGGTATTGGTTTTGGTTTTGGTATTGGTAAGCTGTGCAGCCGCGGTACTGGTATCATACCAATACCGCGGTTCCCCGGATCTCTCCCAGGGCGCGCTAGTATCAGCGCTTCGGGGAGAAGATAGCCAGGGCGACGAAAGAAATGTATCGGTGTCGGCGTACGTATGCACCCTCGTTATCCGCAGACCCCGTCCCTCCACTCCTTGGCGACGCGCACTGGGAGCGACGCAAGGAGGCGGCCTTCTAAAAAGGCGGGAGGGCTCTTAGAAGGCTGGGGTCTTCTTCGAAGCGCCTGGATGCTCCTGGAAAGGGTTCTTAGAAGCTTGGGGGTCTTCTCAGAAGCCACCTGCCTCCTCACAAGCTCCCCGCCTTCTTAGAAGGCCCCCTCGCGCCACCACCCCGTGCACGCCGCCAGGCTCCCTCGGTCACCCTCCCTTCGGGGCTCCTTGGTTGGACGGCAGCCTGTCCTGAACCATCAGCAGGGCTGGCATGACCCCGCGGATGGCGGCCGCCGAGAGCCGCCGGACGCAGGCACCTTGGGCATCATCGGCGGAAATCCGGGAGGAGGACGACGAGGAGCAGCAGGAGGGATGACGATGGTGCGGAGGAGGAGGAACTGAGGAGGGAGGCGAGGACGAGGACGAGGACGAGGACGAGGAGGGAGACGGGGAAGAGGAGGGGGGATAAGGAGGGAGGGAGACGAATTAGCACCGTGCGTTCTCTTCTCACCTCCTACTCATCCTCCTCTCCAGTCGGGCCTCTGAAGCGCAACCGATATCATACTCACGTAGTCTGTGGCGTGGTACAGGGGCCATGCAGCCGGCAGGGCCCGCTCTCGACCGCGTCCCAGGACTCGGGGACCAGAGCTTCGTCGACACGAGCGCGTGAGCAGAGACCATCGAGTCCCTCCTTGGCACTCGGGCGTCGTATAAAAAACAGAGACTCTGGGCCTGCGAGCCGCGGCCACTGACCCAGGCTGGAGTGGCAAGACATGCAAAGGAGCAGGGCTTGCCCGCTTCCAGCCACTTGCGCGGAGCCAGGGCGGTGGAAGCCCGCTAGACCACGACGCACAGCAAAGAGGAGGGCGGACGGGGCGGAGACGGGGGAGAGGAGAGGGGAAAACGGCGTGCTCACGCCCGAGGGGCCTGGCCTGAAAGACAACGCCATTGCCACCAAGATCGATCCAGACCCAGGAGTCCGAGCCTCGACACCAGGTCGCGACCTCCCGCGGCGCTGTCGGTCGCTTCGCCGTGATTCCGCACGTTTCGGTGATCAGTTTTGCAGACGACTGCATTGCCGCCGTGTTGCTCTGAATACAGGTAGTGTTTCGTGCTGCTGGGCCCGCCCCCTCTTCCAATGCCCCTCGCCTGTGGTCCCCATCCTCCTCATCCTCCACCTCCATGCCCCCCTCGTCCTCCCACCTCATCCTCTACCTACACCTTCACCTTCTCGACCCGTTCTCGTCCCCCCACGCTCCATCCGCACGCTCCTTCCCCTTCTTCACATCCGACCGGTGCCAACGGGGCAAAGCTCAGGGCCCCGTAAACCGAGGCTTTTGGTAAACCAGGACATCGGCACAATCAGGAAAACTGCAACCGTAGGCCAAAGCATTCTCCACCCTTCGTCTCCTCCCGCTGGGTCTATCCTGTTATTGCGAAGGCCTTACGGCCAGTGCCGCCGACCCTGAATGGCGACGACGACGACGACGACGACGACGACGACGACGACGACGACAACGACGAGCGCTCTCGGGCGCCTCTTGGGGGTAGTTTGGGGGCCTCTTGGAAGGCTATTGGGGGCCGCTTGGGAGCCCGTGGGGGCCTCTTGGGGCTTCCTGGGGGTCTCTTGGGGGCCCCTTGGGCCTCTCGGGGGGCTTCTTAGGGGCCTCTGGGGGCCTCCTGGGAGCTTCTCAGGCCGAGGGCTCGAAATGACCGTTCGGGTCCCTCGTCTGGGCTCCCTCTTGCAGCCGTCTTGGGGGCCTCTTCGGCTGTCTTGGAAGCCTCTGACCATCTTGGGGCGGTCTTGGGGGCCTCTTGGCCTGTCTTGGAGCGTCGGTAAGCTGACAAGGCGAGAATGGCGAAATCTTTCAAATTATTCACTGCGTGGAGCTCCCCATATGTGCATCTACTCGCATGGACCTGTCCGCCGTGAATGTCTAGGCGCAAGAACTTTCGAATATTAACGGGCTTCAGTTGTGACGGTCTGGACATCAATCTAACTGCGAATGAATTGGAGTGTGAATGAGCCTCAGTAGTACGAGCGCGTCTCTGTGCATGAGCCTGGGGCCTCCTGGGGCCTCCTGAAACCTACTGGGGCTTCCTGGGGTCTCCAGGAGCCTCTTGGGACCTCCTGGGACCTCCTAGGAAGGTTTCGTGCCCCAGGAGAGGCGCAATCTATAGCAACAGACGTACATAAAACATTGCGGATTAGAGCCACAGGAGAAGGGCAATCTATAGGAACACGCGTAAAACACCAAGGACTCGTGCCCCAGGAGAGGCCCAATACATAGGAACATGAGTAAAACATTTAGGATTGTGTACACAGGAGAAGGACCATCTATAGAAACATACGTAGAACATCAAAGAATCGTGCTCCAGGTGAGGCCCAATCGATAGGAGCATACGTAAAACACATGGGATTGGAGCCACTCCTGTTGCCTTCTGAGGCCTCCTGCTCCTGGGGCCTCTCGGGGCCTCCTGTTGCCTTCCGAGGCCTCCTGGCGCTTCCTGTTGCCTCCTGGGGCCTCCTGTGGTTTCCTGAAGCCTTCTGGAGCTTCCTGGGGCCTCCTGGAGCCTCTTGGGACATCCTGTAGCCTCTTGAGTCTTTCTGTGGCCTCCTGATGCCTCCTGGGACCTCATGTGGTCTCCTGGAGCCTCCTGGAGCCTGTTGGAGCCTCCTGTGGCATCCTGAGAAGAATCTGCGCCCACGAGCCTGGCCACCAAAACTAGCAAACCGATCGAGACATCCTCAAAATCTGGCCCACCTGGGGGGTGAAAATGAGCGCCTCGCTCGAGACATCCTCCAAATCTGCTCCGAAAGCGAAGGATGTTGGGCCCAGAAACAAGCAAACCGCCTGAGACATCCCCACAAAATGGCCGCGAACGAGCCCGTGCAACCACCCCTGGCGGCTCCCCTTAGGGGTGCTGAAATGAGCGCCTCGCTCGAGACATCCTCCAAATCTGCTCCGAAAGCGAAGGATGTTGGGCACAGAAACAGGCAAACCGCCTGAGACATCCCCACAAAATGGCCGCGAACGAGCCCGTGCAACCACCCCTGGCGGCTCCCCTTAGGGGTGCTGAAATGAGCGCCTCGCTCGAGACATCCTCCAAATCTGCTCCGAAAGCGAAGGATGTTGGGCACAGAAACAGGCAAACCGCCTGAGACATCCCACAAAATGGCCGCGAACGAGCCCGTGCAACCACCCCTGGCGGCTCCCCTTAGGGGTGCTGAAATGAGCGCCTCGCTCGAGACATCCTCCAAATCTGCTCCGAAAGCGAAGGATGTTGGGCACAGAAACAAGCAAACCGCCTGAGACATCCCCACAAAATGGCCGCGAACGAGCCCGTGCAACCACCCCTGGCGGCTCCCCTTAGGGGTGCTGAAATGAGCGCCTCGCTCGAGACATCCTCCAAATCTGCTCCGAAAGCGAAGGATGTTGGGCACAGAAACAGGCAAACCGCCTGAGACATCCCCACAAAATGGCCGCGAACGAGCCCGTGCAACCACCCCTGGCGGCTCCCCTTAGGGGTGCTGAGTATGAGTAAGTCTGTGTATGAGTAAGTCTGTGTATGTGTACGTCTGGGTATGACTACTACTGTGTATGAGTAAGTCTGTGTATGAGTAAGTCTGTATATGAGTATGTCTGAGTGTGAGTAAGTCTGAGTATGAGTAGGTCTGAATATGAGTAAGTCTGAGTATGAGTAAGTCTGTGTATGAGCAAATCTGAGTATGTCCGACAGGAGGGGAGGAGAAAAGAGGAGGAGGAAGGAGGAGTAGGAGGCGTCCAAGTAATAACAAGAACCCCATCTTCGGATATGGGGAAAAACAAAGGGGGAACTCTATGATTTTTGCCCCTTGGGGCCCTGGGGCGGAAAGGAAACTTTTTGAGCCGTCTGGAGGCTACTTTGGCGACTTGGACCGATGCTTCGGCGATTCGGGGCCCTCGAACACCGTGATGGGGGCATCTTGGGGCACTTTTGCGTTCTTAGTGCTTTTCTGCCGGGACCGGGCGGGGAAGGGATACAACGGGCCTATAGGGAAAGGAGAGGGGAGCGGCGAAGGCGGCGACGACGACGACGCCGATTCCACACGCCGACAAGGTCGGCGGGTTTGGGGGGGAGGGGGAGGAGCGCGTGAGCACAAGATCTCGACTCGCTGGGGTTGACGCCACAGTGCGAACCTCAAGGGCGCCAGGCACTAGGCGGACTGGGAACGCCACGCGATCCGACCTGCGAAGGCAAACTCCTTCTGGATCTTGCAACGTCCTGGCTTCAGATCAGGCATGTCCCCCTGCAGGCAATTTTAGGACGATCTATATATATACATATATGTGTATATATAAATATGGATTCGTTGTCGTTAGTTTTGTGTTTTTGTGTTTTTGTTTATATATATATACATATACATATAAGGGGGGGGGGGGGGAAACAAAAAAAAAAAAAACTGCGACGTACCCAACCCACGCGCATCAAATGGCAAGAGGAGCATGGCAACATTAGCAGGAACAACGACAGTGTAGACGCGGCGATTTGCTGTGCAAACTACATGGGATGCGCATGCGCTGCACGATTCGCAGGACGACGATCGAAAGAACGAGGCTTGAGGCCCCAGGATCGAAGAAGAACGGGCACGGGAACGAGGGGTAGGAGAGGGATGGAATGGAGGGCGGGGGGGGCGAAAGGCCATCGCGGAAGCAGCAGCATGCATGGAGAAGGTGAGGCGGGGAATAGGACGACGATGAAAGTGGCGGGAGGAGACAGAAGACTGCCGCGTTTTTCAAGCGCGAGCTAAACCCGCAGCGCTGCCTGCGCCATGTCGTCGCAGAGTTCCACATGATAAAACTTGTTTAGAGTGCAAAGAACGAGCGAGGCGTAGCTCGCCCGCTAGCTTCTCCGCCTCCTTCCCGCACATTTCAGCGCGGGAGCTGAACGCTCGCAGGCGCGCCGCCAGGTCTGCGGGCGGCCCGCGGGAAAGAAACTCAAGGCCGGGGTCGCGTATCATCAATCGGTTGTCCATCGTCCAAAGTTGCACTGGCGACGTACTGGTTGAACGCGGAGCGAGCAGCATCACGCGCGTGCCTGAACGCCACGCAGGTACAGTGCACGCGCGATTGGGACTTCAGGTCGATCACGCGCGTCTCCACCAGGCTTGGCAACACCACGCGACTGAGGATCCCACTGCGGTCTGCCATGCTGCTGTCCGCGAACGCAATGCGCTGCCTGCAAGTAAGGCGGCGGCGTCCACTTGTCTCAGAAGATGTTCCCGCGGGCCCGAAGGGCGACCGCCAGCTCGAGCCGCGGCGCCGGCAGGCCAGATAAGGATCATGCAACAGCAAAGACGATGACAGAGCAACGAGGTATCGGCGAGTGCATGACCGGCCTCCGTTTCCTGCACTTCTTTCCTGTAGTTCCCCTAGCTCATCGAGCTCAGCAGATGTTTCTGCCGGTCCGAAGGACGACCGCCAGCTCGAGTCGCAGCGCCACGTGGCACGAACCGCAGAGCAAGGGCACGCGAGCATTGCTCGTGGTCAGAATCTGAGTCCCCGTGGTGCCTCACTCCGCTGGCCACCCACCAGCAGCCCTCGAAAGTGGCGACAGTTTCACAGATCGCAGCCGCCCAGGGGTGGCGAGGTCTAATCTGAGTCCCCGTGGTGCCTCACTCCGCTGGACCCACCAGCAGCCTCGAAAGTGGCGACAGTTTCACACAGGGATGGCGAGGTCTAATCTGAGTCCCCGTGGTGCCTCACTCCGCTGGACCCACCAGCAACCCTCGAAAGTGGCGACAGTTTCACAGATCGCAGCCCCCCAGAGATGGCGAGGTCTAATCTGAGTCCCCGTGGTGCCTCACTCCGCTGGACCCACCAGCAGCCCTCGAAAGTGGCGACAGTTTCACAGATCGCAGCCCCCCAGAGATGGCGAGGTCTAATCTGAGTCCCCGTGGTGCCTCACTCCGCTGGACCCACCAGCAGCCCTCGAAAGTGGTGACAGTTTCACAGATCGCAGCCCCCCAGAGATGGCGAGGTCTAATCTGAGTCCCCGTGGTGCCTCACTCCGCTGGACCCACCAGCAGCCCTCGAAAGTGGCGACAGTTTCACAGATCGCAGCCCCCCCCCCCAGGGATGGCGAGGTCTAATCTGAGTCCCCGTGGTGCCTCACTCCGCTGGACCCACCAGCAGCCCTCGAAAGTGGTGACAGTTCCGCAGATCGCAGCCCGCCAGGGATGACGTGAAAGGCAAGAGAAGAGAAGAGGAGGAACGAAGAGAGGCGGAGAAGGGAAGCAAGAGAGGAGAGGAAGAGGGAAGAGAGGAGGAGGAGGCGGGAAGGAAGGAAGGAAGGTGGAGACCGCAGTGCTCTATTCAAAACGAGTACCCAACGCAGGAGGGTTGGGAACAAAAAAAAACGATGTGAAAATGATGAAAAAGTACCTGACGAACCGTCCCCGCACTGCTTTTTGACTATGTTTGAAGATTCCTCCTGTAGAGGGACACGCCCGACTTAATCCTGGCTCCAGATGTCTGCCCTGACGGAGGCCGGTCGGGGGCGTCCAGGACCTGGGAACCAGATGGGGTTCGAGTGGACGGGGTCGGAAGATCGCGCCGCATCGGCCGATGCATCGGCAATGCATCGGCGATGTATCGGCGATGCGTCAGCGACGTCGGCGATTCATCACCGACATCCGCGAGGACAAAGTCGGGCTCCACATCGAGCCGCGTCGCCGATGAATCGGCGATGCGGAGCGATCCCCCGACCCCATCAACTTTTCTTGAACTCACCAATCCGTCTCGAGTCGGCCCTTGAGTGAAACAGGTCCTGGACCCCAGGGACCTTCCCCAGGGAGCGGCATGTCATCCTGAGTGGTGTTTTGACGGCCCCAGGGCGTGGAGAGGACCCAGGGAAGGCAAAACTGTGTAAAACTTTCCAGACCCCGTTTTCCTCAGGGCCCATCTGGACGCCTCCCAGATGATCGCGACGCATCGCCGATGCATCGGCGATGCATCAGCGAAGTCGGCGTGAAGAAAATCTGCCGACCCTGTCGACATGTGTCAGTAGCTTGTCCGTTCGAGTCGTCCTCTCCGTTATGCATTAGTCGTCGTCTCTGCCGGCTTCTTTCCCTGCGGCCCCCATTTCCCTGGGCCCGTCGCCGCCAGGCCTGTTCCTGGGCCCTTGTCCGCAAGCGCGCCAGCCAAATCGAAATTGAGCAACGTCATAATTCAATCGAAGGGAAGCCTTTGATCCCTCCCCCGTCGGGGAGGGGGGGAGGGTCCCGGGGGAGGTCCGGGTGGCGGGTCCCAAGGGGTGTCCCGAAGGGGGTCGCCACCCAAATACGACTCCCTCCCGGGGGGTCCCGGGGCCCAAAACAGCGCCTGGACGGGCCAAGAGTGCCCGAAGAGGCCCCCAAGACGGTTCAAGAGGGCCCCGAATCGCCAAACGATCTGTCGCCTCCCTGTGATCCCTCCCCCGTCGGGGGGAGTCCCGGGGGGTGTCGCCACGCAAATACGACTGACTCCCTTCTGGGGGGTTCCGGGTCCTAAATAAGCCTCAAGACGGGCCAAGAGTGCCCAAAGAGGCCCCCAGGACTGTCCAAGAGGGCCCCGAATCGCCGAACGATCTGTCCAAGACGCCTTCACGGCCTCCTGAAGGCCCATGAGGCCTGCGAAACACTCCATAAGGCCTCCAGGAGCACTCCCAAGAAAACCTCTGGGGGCAAAATTCATGTTTCTTATATCTTAAAATCCCCCTAGATGTTCCCAATGGCCCAAGAGAGCCCCAAGACGGCCCGAGACGCCTCCAAGACAGGCCAAGAGACACCTAAGACGGCTCCAAGAGGGTGCCCAGACGGGCGACCAGAACGGACATCTCCTCGTCCTCCTACTGGTCCTTCGACCCCCTGTCCTCCCCCTGCCCCTGCTCCCCTCCTCATCCTCCTCCACATCCCCCTCCTCCTCCGCATCCCCCATCCTCCTCCGCATCCCCCTCCTCCTCCGCATCCCCCCCCCCTCCTCCTCCTCCTCCTCCTCCTCCTCCTCCTCCTCCTCCTCCTCCTCCTCCTCCTCCTCCTCCTCCTCCTCCTCCTCCTCCTCCTCCTCCTCCTCCTCCTCCTCCTCCTGCTCGTCAACCGCTTCCTCCTACTGCTACTCGTCCTCGTCGTCCTCGTCGTCCTCGTCGTCGTCGTCTTCAGGGTCGGCGGCACTGGCCATAATGCCTTCACAATCGGGCTCAACGTCGAGCCGCGTCACCGATGTGGCGCGATCCTCCGACCACATCTACTCGGACCACGCCTGGGAGGCCTAGACCATCTCTTTCGTGGCGATCTGGGGCCAGCCCGCCGATCGGCACGCTTCGGGGACCCCCAGGACGCTCGAGGCGAGGCGCAGCCGCTGGAGCGCACCTCGAGGCGAGGAAACGCCCAAGAGCTCACGGAACCGTCCGATTAAGACAGAGCGCCCTCGCCCTCTTCGGGGCCCCGAAACCGTGTGGTGACGGACCGCGCGGTGCCCTCGGAACCCCCAAGTGCCTCACCGCGCGGTACGTCACCACACGGTCTTGGGACCCTAGAGGCTAGGGCTCCCAACTTCGCGCTTCGCGCTCCGCGAAGCGCGAAGCGCGAATAACTTCGCGCCCTCGCGCCGCCCCCCCCAAAGGGAGAAAAGGAGGACGAGGAGGAGGGGGAGAAGGAACGAGGACCGCGAAGCGCGAAGCGCGAATAACTTCGCGCCCTCGTGGGAGCCCTTGTAGAGGCCACAGTCGTCCGAGACGCCCTCGGAGCACAGCCCCGAGGCCCAGACCCGCGCGGTGACCCCGAATCCCCACGGACTCC